AAGAAGATTTGCAAGTTAATTTTTCACGGACGTCAGATTGCCGAGGGGGGACCGGATTAAAAACTGTGTTTGTGGTCAGTGTGGTAATCTTCAACACATATGACAAAACATACATGAGCACTTCCTTACACGAGGCTATGTCTATGAGCCAAAATGCCACCGAAATTAATTATACCAATTTTCGGGTGACATACTTGTTAACAAAAACGTCGCTTTCTTAAGCTCACTACTAACTACTCTACATCACAAGACTTGGTTTGTTGGCTGAGCCATTCTGGCTTCCATGCAATATACACATCCTCCTACGATGTGCAGTCAATTCTCAAATCACCTTCAAACTAATAATCATTAATTCTGAATTAGAAAGTCTGAAGACCAGTAGTTACCATGCATTAGATAACAGATTCTCGACAAACGATTGATACTGAGGAATGAGGATGAAAGACTAATTGCATTTTAGCCTCCACCTCAGGCAGCTCTGTGGGTTTCAGCCGGCCGCGAATGAATATTCGAAATTTTTCTTTCGACCACCCGATTCGCCGAAGGAGATGCCTGTGGAGGAAGCTATAGTTACAGTTACTGTAGTAGTTGCGATTGATGCGTGAAAATTAAACGAATAGTGTTGATTCAATTAAATCGTTACTGGTATACATTCCTGGTATCTATTGATAAAATTGCTAAAAATCTTATCTATGTGACATCTTATATTTATCAGTCTTTATCATTTCTTCCCTCTTATAGCATTGTCAAGATTTTATTTCACTATTCCACAATCTAACTGTCAAACTACACATGAACAAAAATTGAGTGGTAAAGAAAAGAATATAGTTGCAGAAACAGACGAAGATGGTGATATTCTTGTACGAAGATTACACCAGAATGAAATCGAACAGAATGTTATAACGTTAGGTAATTATATTCAAGCTTTGAAGTGCAATAATTTCTGGATTATGTTGGTGTATAGTCATTATGACAGCTAGGTTATTATACTTTGTGGTGGGATTAAATTCATCAACAGGAAATCGCTTGAATGTTACCCAAGAAGGATTCACCTACACCTAACTGAAATATTTCATCTATGATCGGTTCTACTTAAATGCCTGGAGTGCCTAGACTTTTAATTACTTTAATTACCGTAACTGCCCGTACCAGCAAATTTCACTGAAAAAATGTGCAATGTAGTTCTATCCTCATTCTTTTCGACTATATTAAGAAAAAAGAAAGAAATATTTACTCTTTTTGAAAGGTTGTTCACTTGTTCAACATTTTAATGTTCAAGTGCACATTGTAAAAGCATACCGTAAACCTCCCAATATACGCCCAGGGGATTATATTAGTGCGCATTATATTATAGTTCGTAAGCATTTTGATTGTCTTATACATCGAGTGCTGGCTTATATGCGGACATTTGCTGTTAGTAATAATATTTATTGCACCTGTAAATTATACCGTCAACGAAAAGAAATATACACATACAGTATATAAGACATAGTAAAACAAGTTGATTAACGTATTATACAGGGTAATACTGTGATGTAATTATCATCAGTCGTTGGTGCTGTTGGAATCCCTGTCGCCCAATAGGGGACTTATATTCGGAGGTCTACGGTACTCGAAATACCGTTGAGCTAACAATATATACTAGAGTTTTGTATTTTGTTTTACTGTTATACATAAATGAAATTGTGATTTATATTGCTGAACACTCCTTGGCAACTCCTATAATAAGCGTTGGCACACAGGGTTGGGTTTCTTCCCACTGGGGATTAGAGGTACCTGTTGACATGGATCGTAACTACCCTGCCCCTGTCTGACCTTTGCATTATCCTTGGGATCTCTGAATTAATCATGTTGTTAAACATAAACTTTATTGCAGAACACTCCCTGGCAACTCCCATATCAAGTGTTGGCACTCAGGCTAGTATTAAAGGGAATACAATACGGATTATAAGATCGTGATGTGATGATTAGTTTTACAGTGTAGCTTATCAAATCAATCATGATATGTCAATAATGTCATAAATGCATGTTCTGTACTAACGATTGTCCGACTGCAGTTTTCTGTTAACTTTGTTGTTAACGAGGATTAATTACTGGATGCTCATTGGTTAAGAGGAGTACAATTATTTCATTAATTGTACTGCAGTACAATTAATGATTTTCCCAAAACAAACAAAATGGCGGAAAGGTATTTTTAACACAAATGTGAAATGAATTTGCAACTAGATGAAAATACGAACAAAAGCACCAAATTTTGCTTTAACAAAGGAACTAAATTAAAATACGAATTAATTATTAAAGTACCAAATTTTTGGTGAAAGTCTGGCAGGACTGGGCTTTGGCGAGAGAATATGATGTTGACGGAGAAGTATCCAATTTTGTCATATGCTAATATGCCCGTGACCGGCGGCTCGTCCAATTTTGGCAAAATTTCCAAACATCACTCGTACTATTAATCCCTAATTGTACTCACCATCGCATGATTACCTATAGTTATTGTACAGTTTATTTGTATATTACTTCTTCTGAACAAATGTAGAGTTGCTAGGGTTTTTTCAATCCAATTGGTTAATCTGGGGCCGGTTGTATAAAAGAGTATAGTTAAGGTTTACCGCAATTAGTGCGGTTAGTTTGCTGCAGGACAGTAACCAGTCAGAATCGGGTATTTGAGAGATAACTGCTACTTAACTACAAACGGGTAGCTAAAAAGTAGTTACTGTTACTGTAAGCCTTTTATACAGCCGGCCCTGGATCTAACAATCAAGCCTGGATGACTTATATTATTTATTATACTTGCTATAATTATGCTAAAGTATTTTTCAATAATATAGGTATGGCGAGGTTCTTTGCTCCTTTGTGATTTTCTTCTCCACCATGAAAAGGAGTAAGTAAATTGCATTGTACAGTATGCCGCTGCAATGTTTTTAAGATAAACAAAATCATAATATTCATTCATTTATACTTCTATTCTGTTCAGAAATTTGCTAAGTTGTAATTCTGAAATTGTTTGTTAATTGTTCCTATTCTGAAATTGTTTGTTAATTTAATTTGTATTATTCTTTAGCTTTGTATTGTATTGTATTGTATTGTATTGTATTGTATTGTATTGTATTGTATTGTATTGTAATGTGTTGTGTTGTGTTGTGCTGTATTGTGTTGTGTTGTGTTGCGTTGTATTGCGTTGTATTGTATTGTATTGTATTGTATTATATTGCGTTGCGTTGTACTGTATTACATTCCATTTATTGTATTGTATTGTATTGTATTGTAATTTTTTGAGACCGGCTTTCTGTACTAGCAATCATATCACATACTGTATACATCTGCTAACTGTCGTAATTATAGTTATTATTATTATATTGGGCAATTAGAAGTAATTCAATGTAATTCACATTAGCATATACTCGGGAGGTGGGTTCTGCTTTTCGCGCAATTTGATTGGTTGCTCAGCTCTGGATATCCTTGTACTATTCACCTCCGGACAAAAACAAAATGGCTTCCCGTTTCGTTCCGGTCACGAGCAAAATTTTGTACTAAACGAAGCTGGCGTTTCACCAAACACAAAGAAAGCCACAAAGTTTCGTTTAACAGTGTGTAAAGGTATTCTTTAAAGCTATTTCTATGATGAATAAAATTACTAAAGCAGGCATTCTGGAATTCCGAGATGGCGCGATTTCCGGAATGGTCCAAAAATCGCGGAATTCAGTTTAAACCGCGGAATTTAAACTTTGGTAAAGAATTTTTTTTATTTTTCCCTTAAATTAGCAAAAAGATACATTTGTGTGATCTGATAGCTACAAGACGTTTTTGTTAAATGTAAAGCCTTACGAACGGGGATGACCTTCAAAGTGGAAGGACTGTCATTGATATTCATCATTTCACTAACCACTAAGATTTATTGGGATTTTAATTTTTGAATTTCTAGTAATATTTCTGCAACTGCACTTCCGGTTGACACAATATAATGTCATTTACGATCTGTACCTTTGGTTCGTGAAATAAGTTCGATAATGTTTGATGACAATTCAGTTTTCAATGTGAAAACGTTGGCAGTGGCAAAACGTTTACAAAAACCAACGCACTGTGATTGTTTTTATTTCGGCTTCTCGCACTTGCTCAAATGCTGTCACACGGTACTTCGATTAAGAGCCGCAGATTCAAGATTAGTACGGCGCTTATTCGGGGACGTGGCTTAAAACGAGTAATTACAGTTTTCACGTCAATGACGTACGGTCTGCTGTTTTGTTTTATGTTGGGACTCACTGTATTTAAATATGTCAGATTTCTTGTGAAACCGATAACTTTCTAATATATTTCTTATTATCCAAATTGGAATGACCCTGCAATTACTGTTTATAGCGGTAAATATTGATATTTTTGCCTAAAAACATCTGAATTTTGTCCGCAGAATTTGTCATTTCGGGCCGCGGAATTGACCTAAAAAATTCCGCGGAATTTGTTTTTTTTTGCCCGCGGAATTCCAGAATGCCTGCTAAAAGCTTGTAAAATACTGTTTTGTTTGCAACCTCGTTTACACCTAAAACAGGAGCTGAAATACAAATTGTTTTAAAAATTTTTTTGTTGTTTTCTGGTCGTTTTTGTTTTGTTGTGGTATATGCTAAAACAATTATTCACCTCAGTGTCGGTGAATAGTGCAAGGATGTTCACCTCAACGCTTCACCTCGGATAGCAATTTTGGATATTCACCTCGATATCAATTTTTGGAAAGTTTATACACGGACCATTTTTTTTATAAGTCTGGCAAAATGGAAAAAGTCGGGTAAATATTTTGTTTCTGCCCCCCCCCCCC